AAAAAAAAAAAAAAAGAAAAAATAGTAAAAACAGGAACCCCCTGCCTCGTCGGGCATGTGTGTAGATCACAGAGTGCTCTCGTGCTGACCTGAGTCTGACAGCACCCCCACCCGGGGGGGCAGAGAAGTACTCTCTCCCCGTCTCACTGATGAGCAAACAAGGGCGCTGCAGGGCTGAACGTGGTCCTAGAGGAACAGGCGGGGGGTCGGGACCAGAGTATGTTTCTCTGATTCTGAGCTCGTCTAGGCCACGCTGCCCTGCCTCTCCCTGCCTGTGTGCCCCTTCGTTTGTTGCTGTTGTTTTTAATGGGGTGGTTGTGAGGACTGGGCAGGGAGTCAAGAGCGACAGGCTGTGGCACCCTTCAAGGGAATTAAAAAAAATAATAAAAAACTACTCTTACACCTGTGTCATTCTTAAAGGGATACGCCCCCAAAGGCCACCCAGTGGGATTCCCTGAGGGATCTGTTTGTGCCCAGAACAGGAATTGTCAGCCTCCAACGTGCACAGAAGTCACTCGAAATTTGATAAAATTCAGATTCTGATTCTTAAAGTCTTGGGTAGGGGCTGAGATTCTGCATTTTTAACAAACTCCCACCGTGCTGGCCCGTGGACCGCAGTCAATAGGCCGTGGACTGTGAGATTGTTCTCAGGCCCCCAGACAGGGCCCCTGTCCTTGCGTGGACTTGCCTCGTGCTTAATACCTGGGCTAGGCTCAGTCTACACGCGGGCTTTTGCAGCACAGAGTTCTCCTGGCTTCTTCTCTTCTAGGCCAAACAGTATCTTCACGGCAAGATAGATATTCAGAGAGAGGGAGGGAAAACAAGGACACGGGCACTGGGGAAGGTTGGAGGGGTGAGTGGGTCAGGAGACCTGAATACTGCCCCAGCTCCACCCCCAAAGCTGTTTGATCTCGGACCAGCCTTTCTGTCTCCTGGAGCCTCAGGCCACCTGTCCCCAGGGTGGGATAATCGCACCTGTCAGCAGCGTTATGCTGGGCCCCTGGGAAGTTCAGAGACGGTCACAGATAGGAGAGGGCTTTGGGAAGAGCCACACACGTTGACTCCATATAGGCCAACACCCTCGAAGGGGGAAGAATGCACGGAGGCATTATGAGAACACAAACTCAGAGTGCTTGGGACTTTGAAGAATTCGAAGGGCAGCTCCTAGGCCAGACTTAAGTAGGCAGATGCTGGTGGAAAATAGTCTCTGAGAGTTAATGGAACCATGTTCAGAGGACCACAGGGTAGAGGCAGGAAGTGAGGCCCCTATTCTCTGAAACTTTATACACCAATGTAGCAAGTTGTTCCAAAACACATTCACACGGTCTCATGGAGTCTGCCTGTCAGCTCCTTGAGGTCAGCCGGGCCAGTGTCATGAACCCCACGTAACTGACGGGCCCCAAGTATAGTGATTCTGGAACGATCTTTAGATCCATCACCTCCAGTGGCTGCCAAACCTGTGCGTACCATCAGACGCGTTTGTTTTGTGATCTCTTTCAAGGAAGCTCTCCAAGTTCAACTGCACCTCCCTGCCCTTATTCTCCAAGGTTGGTCCTGATAGCCCTTGGTAGGGCACAGGCTGGAAACTGCTGATGTCACCTCATTCCTGACCATTTCATAAGTGAGGAAACCAAGGCTCAGGACGTATAATGATCTTGCCATGGCTAGATCTAGCCAAGATGACCCTCCATGAGTGTCACCACCCGGTGTTCGCACCTTGTGAGGTCCCCCTCGGACACTGATGAGGGGTGACCGAGGGTGTGGCTTCTGAGGCTAGGTCGCAAAAAATGTGGCGGTTTCTGCTTTGTGCTCTGCTGGATCCCTGGCTCTGAGGAAGCCGGCCGCCACGTTGTGAGGATGTTCAAGCAGGTGGAGAAGATGGTGTAGTGGGGCTATGACGGGATGGCAGATACGGCGTGTCGCCCTCCAAGTCTGGGGCTCCCTGTATCACGTGCACCAGCCCCTCTCACTCTCTCCTCCTTATGAAGCTGCAGCAAAGGCCAGTGCTGGACGGGAACACTGGGCAGTGAGGGGTATGAAGTTCAGAAGGTGTGCTCGGCTTTCTCGCCCAGCCTGGGGTCCTGGGTTGCACATGGAGAATGATCTGCCTTCTTCTTTGTCCCCCAGCTCAAACAAATGGCGGTGGGAACGCTGGGATGGAAGGGATCATGAACCCCTACACGGCTCTGCCCACCCCACAGCAGCTCCTGGCCATCGAGCAGAGCGTCTACGGCTCAGACCCCTTCCGACAGGGCCTCACCCCCCCACAGATGCCGGGAGACCACATGCACCCATACGGTAAGATGGGCCCCGGCCCCACAGGGACCGCTCACGGCTCGCTGGCGTGGGTCTCTCCTTCCCTCCCAAACACACATGTGCAGTTCCTGGATGCTCAAGGAAGCTACAAGCAGAATATGTGCCCAGAAGATGCCACTGGATCGTCTAACCAGTGGCTGCAGAAGAAAGACCAGTACCCACAGTCACCAGTGATGTTCCCACTTATTCTCCTTTTCAAAGATTCTTGTTAAAGTAGGAGGCTGTACTTTGATTGTAAACCTGTTCGCTGTGATCGAATTTCCCTTCTTTCCTTTGACACCAGGTACCACATGTTTGCAAGCAATGCCGGCCGTGATGTAGGCCGAAGGCCTTAATTAAGCAAACTTTTAGACAAAGAAAGAAAATACAGAAACGCGCAGAGAGCAAATTTTCTAATGCAACTGATACTACTTAGGTGCTCTCAATTAACTCCTGAAACATAACCTGATTCGGGAAGTGAAAAGTGTC